ACTCTCTAAAGAGTATGCCACCGAGCCCCTACCCTATTCCCACATTCCACCTAGCTTACACATCCCTGGACACTATTGGCAACTTAGCATAGCCAATCCACCTTACCTGCACATCTTTGTACTGTGGGAGGAAACCCACACTGACATGAGAAGAACATGCAAGCTCTACACAGACAATCACCCAAGGCAGGAATTGAACCCAGGTCCCTGGTGCTGTAAAGCAGCAGTATTAACCACTGAGCCACTATGTCACCCACCACTAATGTTTGGGTTCACAGCCAAAAGGATCTGTCTGTGACTTCCAGTTTGCTACAAGACTTTAAGCTACAGTACTGCCCATAGCAAAGCTAGAATGAACTTGAAGGATTCCTCCTTTACCATTCACTTTCAGAAATACCTTGATCTGCTATTAGCTGTTGCAGATCCTGAAAGCATCTCAATTTCAGTGCAATTCACAACAATGGTTAACTCTGGTTAATAGATGAAGTAATTTACATTACAATTAAGAACAGTTAAGATTGTTAATTAATACACCTCATTAGTATTTACCCCTTTTTGGGGCACAATTGGTTATAGCCAACACTTTACTGAATACAATCTCTAAGGTAGGTAATACATATCCCTCTGAGCCAGGAGGCCTGGGTTCAAGTCCCACCTGCTCCAGAGGTGTATAATAACATTTCTGAACAGAATGATTTAAAAAAAATCTTTGCACACTGCTGTGGTTATATAGGCAAAGTCCAATTTCTAGTTGGTATTCTTACTTATCTTGGCTTTAGTATACTTGGAAGTCAAAGTACCAAATTTGCTACTTAGTGCCACTTTCATTTTAATAATACAACACAGCACAGGAACAGGCCCTAAGGCCCATCAAGCCTGCACCAATTCTTATTCCTAATTTAGGCCCGCTACTTATTGCCCATATGTGGTTTCTATCCCTCTGTTCACCGCCCATTCACATGTCCATCAAGATATGCCTTAAATGTTGCTAACATACCTGTTTCCACCACCTCCACTAATAGTGTATTCGAGGCACCCACCAGCCTCCGTGTGAAAAATCTTCCCTGCACTTCTTCCCTAAACTTTACCCCTCTCACTTGAACCTGTGCCTTCTTGTAGTTGACCTTTCCACCCTGAGAAAAAGCTTCTGACTATGCACCCTATCTATGTCTCTTAATTTTGTAGACCCCTTCAGCCTCTGTCTTTCCAGTGAAGACAATTCAGGTTTATCCAAACTCTCCTCATAACTCAAACCCTGTAGATCAGCAACATTCTTCCATATCTTCTCTGCACCCTGTCCAAAGCATCCATGTCCTTCTGGTTGTGTGGTGACCAAGACTACGCACAATATTCCAAATGTGGCCAAAGTTCTATGCAGCTATAACAGAACCTGTCAATTTTTTGTTCGTTACCCCAGCCAATGAAGGCAAGCATGCAGTATGCCTTCTTGTCCACCACCAGGGAAGTACAGTGGTTCAGTAGTTAGCATTGCTGCCTCATGGTGCCAGGGACCCAGGTTTGATTCCAGCCTTGGGCAACTGTCTCTGTGGAGTTTGCAAATTCTCAGTGTCTGCGTGGGCTCCCTCTGGGTGATCTAGTTTCCTCCCACAATCCAAAGATCTGCAGGTTAGGTGGATTGGCCTTGTTAAATTTCCCATTGTGTCCGGGAATGTATAGGCTCGTTGGATTAGCCATGGGAAATACAGGGTTAGGGGGCGTGGGTCTGAGTGGGATGCTCTTCAGACGGTCAGTGCATACCCAATAGGCCAAATGGCCTGCTTCCACACTGTAGGGATTCTACGATTATCCACCTGTGTTGCCATTTTCAGGAATCTGTAGATCTGTATGACAATGCTCCTAAGGGTTCTGCCATTTTTTTGTTATAATTTGCACCTGAATTTGATCTTCCAAAATGCATCAATTTTCATATTACTGGATACTTGAGACACTTTCATGCTGATGTGAAATTGGTATTATAATTATACTCATAGTCCCAGTCTTCACTGGAACAATTTCTATATTCATTGTCTTCTTGCACAGTTCGTGGTTAATAGATGAAGTTATTTACATTACAATTAAGGACAGTTTAAGACTCTTAATTAAGGCACGCAACGTCCATCTAAATGAGAGGCTGACAATCTGAACTTGAAATATGATGCCAATTTGCATAATATTAGCTTGTATTCTCTTGAGTATGGAAGATCGGGGATGATCTCAACTCATAAAAAGATTAAAAGATTTGATAGCTCAGATGAAGAAATATTATTTTCTCTGATGAGGGATACTGAACAAGAGAAATTGGAGCCAGGGTTGGAAGTTGCAAGCAGAAATCTTGCATTCCCTGCTCAACAGTGAATGCTGGGTTAATTAATATGTACAAGACCAAAACTTTGTTTTAATCTGTTTGTAGAGAATCAAGGGTTATAGGAAAATGCAAGTAAATGGGATGAAGACACGCATTAAGAATAATTAAAGGTGGAACAGACTGAGAATGAATAACTTCCTCATATAACAACTATAAACAATTGTTCCAACAGTGATTAAAACATACCCCAGAGAAAAAAAGAGGCAGGCTGAGATAACAGTGTTGAATTTTTTAAGTTTCTGTTTCATGTTTTCTAAAACCTTTCCACATATCTCCGTTTTAATCTGTCAGAATAAGAGAACCACTATCCTTCAGGAGGGGGCTGCGGATCGGAATGTTTTCAAATAAAAGCAAAACACTGCGGAGATAGTAGGAACTGCAGACGCTGGAGAATCCGAGACAACAAGGTGCAGGGCTGGATGAACACAGCAGGCCAGCCAGCATCGCTCTTCCGGTGTTTGTGAGGTTTCGGGCCTAGACCCTTCATCAGAAAAGGGGGAGGGGAAGGGGGTTTTGAAATAAATAGGGAGAGAGTGGGAGGCGGATAGAAGAGGGATAGAGGAGAGGATAGGTGGAGAGGAAACAAACAGGTCGAAGAGGCGGGGATGGGGCCAGGAAAGGTGAGTGTAGGTAGGGAGTTAGGAAGGGGATAGGTCAGTCCAGGGAGGACGGACAGGTCAAGGGGGCGGGATGAGGTTGGTCGGTAGGAGATGGAGGTGCGGCTTGAGGTGGGAGGAGGGGATAGGTGGGAAGAAGAACAGGTTAGGGAGGCAGGGACGAGCTGGACTGGTTTTGGGATGCGGTGGGGGGAGGGGAGATTTTGAAACTTGTGAAATCCACATTGATACCATTCGGCTGCAGGGTTCCCAAGCGGAATATGAGTTGCTGTTCCTGCAACCTTCGGGTGGCATCGTTGTGGCACTGCAGGAGGCCCAGGATGGACATGTCGTCTGAGGAATGGGAGGGGGAGTTGAAATGGTTCGCGACTGGGAGGTGCAGTTGTTTGTTGCGAACCGAGCGTAGGTGTTCTGCAAAGCGGTCCCCGAGTCTCCGCTTGGTTTCCCCGATGTAGAGGAAGCCACACCGGGTACAGCGGATGCAGTATACCACATTGGCAGATGAGCAGGTGAACATCTGCTTGATGTGGAAAGTCTTCTTGGGGCCTGGGATGGGGGTGAGGGAGGAGGTATGGGGGCAGGTGTAGCACTTCCTGCGGTTGCAGGGAAAAGTGCCGGGTGTGGTGGAGCTGGAGGGGAGTGTGGAGCGGACAAGGGAGTCACGGAGAGAGTTGTCCCTCCGGAAGGCAGATAAGGGTGGGGAGGGAAAGATGTCTTTGGTGGTGGGGTCGGATTGCAGATGGCGGAAGTGTCGGAGGATGATGCGTTGGATCCGGAGGTTGGTGGGGTGGTACGTGAGGACGAGGGGGATTCTTTTTTGGTTTTTATTGCGTGGACGGGGTGTGAGGGATGAGGTGCGGGAGATGTGGGAGACACGGTTGAGGGCGTTCTCGACCACCGAGGAGGGGAAGTTACGGTCCTTGAAAAACGTGGACAGCTGAGATGTACGGGAGTGGAATGCCTCATCCTGGGAGCAGATGCGGCGGAGGCGAAGGAATTGGGAATAGGGGATAGCATTTTTGCAGGAAGGTGGGTGGGAGGAGGAGTATTCTAGGTAGCTGTGGGAGTCGGTGGGCTTGAAATGAATATCGGTTTCTAGGTGGTTGCCCGATATGGAGACAGAGAGGTCCAGGAAGGGGAGAGAGGTGTTAGAGATGGTCCAGGTAAACTTAAGGTTGGGGTGGAAGGTGTTGGTGAAGTGGATGAACTGTTCGAGCTCCTCGTGGGAGCACGAGGCGGCGCCGATACAGTCATCAATGTAACGGAGGAAGAGGTGGGGTTTAGGGCCGGTGTAGGTACGGAAGAGGGATTGTTCCACGTAACCTACAAAACACTGCGGAGACAGGATTTGAAACATTAACTGTTTCTCTCGCTACAGATGCTGCCGGACCTACTAAGTTTCTCCAACAACTTGAATCAGAGATAGTAGGAACTGCAGATGCTGGTGAATCCGAGACAACAAGGTGCAGGGCTGGATGAACACAGCAGGCCAAGCAGCAGCATAGGAGCAGAGAGGCTCCAACAACTTTCTGTTTTTGTTTCAGATTTCAGGCATCCGCGGTTCTTTGTTGAGAGAACAGAGTTAAATAGCTGCAGAATTCAGCGCAGACTTCAAACCTTAACCCTGCTTCCTCATCCACAGGGGGCGGGGGTCCCGGAGGCGTGGCCACAGGGACGGGGGGCGGGGCCACACTTGGGGGTGGGGTCTGGGCGTGGTGACTTCACCGTAAAGGGGCGGGGTCTCACTTGGGGGTGGAGTCTCTGGGGGTGTGGCCTGCGGGTAGGGGGCGGGGGTTTCACTCGGTGGTCCGGGTCTCTGGGAAAAGGTTGCCTCGCCATGAAGAGGTGGGGTCAGACGGCGCGGGGCGGGGTCTCGCAGCAAGGGGCGGGGCCCGCACTGCTCATTTGCCTCTGATGTTCGGATTGGTGCGCGGTTGCCAAGGTGGCCCGGCGTCGTCCGGGCCGCTACCTTTATAAAGGCGGAGCAAGCGGCGGACACTCGGAAGTTGTGCGGCGTGTGCTGCTGGGGAATTGGTTAGTGCAGTGGTGCTGATCTCTGTCCATGAGAGACCACAAGCCGCTGAAACGCTTCCCCTGCACCAAATCACTATAGCTATTCCACTCGTACGTCAAGTTCCAGGTAGTTGAAGAGTTTGCAAAGTAAAAGAAAAGTTGGAGGCAAAGACAAACCAATAAAGCGGCTCCACCATGTCTCTGGCTGTGAAGGAAAGAAACCAGGTTCGCCTGGTCTTCCTCGGGGCGGCTGGGGTGGGGAAGACTTCTCTGATCCGGAGATTTTTGCTCGGCACCTTCGAGTCGAAATACAAAAGGACGGTGGACGAGCTTCACAGCAAAGAGTACGACTTGGGGTCCATGAAGGTCAGGATCGAGATCATGGACACCAGCGGCAGCTACTCATTCCCGGCCATGAGGAAGCTGTCCATCCAGAGCAGCGACGCTTTCGCCCTGGTCTATGCCGTAGACGACGCCGAGTCCTTCGAAGCGGTGAAAAGCCTTCGGGAGGAGATCCTCGACATCAAGGAAGACAAGTACACGCCGATTGTAGTGATCGGCAACAAGGCGGACAACCTGAGCGACAGGCAAGTGTCCAGTGAGGAGATCATGTCCTTGGTGGAGCTGGAATGGAATAACCGCTACTTGGAATCCTCGGCCAAAGACAACGCCAACGTGCTGGAAGTTTTCCGAGAGCTCCTGCGGCAGGCCAACTTACCGAGCCGCCTGAGCCCGGCCCTGAGGAGGAGGCGAGAAACTTTCCCCACGGAGAACCATGCCCGACCTCCCATGAACAAAACCAATAGCTGCAGCATCTCCTAAACACCCGGCTTCCCAATGGACAGACTTTTCAGTTCGATTGATCCGATCAAAATTCCACCATACATAGTACATATATAACCGTTCACCTTCACTGGAGTTTAAAACCAGACCGAATGGATCCAGGTTTGGAAAAACGAGTCTCCAAACTGGAGAAAATTGTGCAACTGAACTTGTTACGGTGCTAAAAATACAACGGGAGCATTCGGTACGTATCTCGGAAAAAAATAATCTGTTACTATTGATTAAGCTGGATTTTGCTTTGGTTTTATTTTGAAGATGGTGATATTTATTCATTAAACTGAACAATTGATGCGTGCGTTTAAGGCAAACCCCATAACAGGTTAGATGTCAGCCTGTTGTGTAGTATCAGCATTGATCTAAGTTTCACATAGAGTTTGTAACATGCCGTGCAGCCTGGGAACTTTGTTTACAGAGTTTAAACCACCACCGTTATTTGTTAATTAAGGAGTTGACATTTATTTGCACTTCTATGTTAGTAGATTTTGTCATTATACAGTTACTGAAAATACATACTCTTTTGTATATTTATTTTATAAAGTTGTTAATAAAGACGTTATCTCAAACAATTTGTTGATTTTGTCGCCCACTTGCTTTGGACGTATCAATGTTATTTTTTTAATCTGTCCTCTCAGGGGTTCCCACAATATATCCTGTGCCCGTACATATTCCACAAACAAAATTGTTTCCTCATTCATTTTATGTTAGAAACAGAATGGAAAGGCTTTTACGAAAGCACATTCACAATAAAACTGAATAGCAGGAGAGTGCCCCGAACAGCAATTAGGGAGCACTCAGAATTGCATGGAAAGAACCCATAGCTCAATGAGAATGCAAGAGGTAACCAGGCAATGACTCTCGAACACCAGGAATGCGGTCAATTCTACAGAGAAACCGACAGTAGCCTCGTAGGTGCTTGGAGTTTGTAGGGAGGCTAACGCCACTCCTTTTTTATCCTATTAAAAAAATACTCAAAGAGATACACTTTAAATAAACATAGCTTTCATAATCTGTATATATGAACGTAAAACTGAACAAAGTTCGCAACCGCGAATTGCACGGACGAAGACTGCGATCCGCGGCCAACGTGAAGGTTTCAGATTCACTGACAGCTCATTACTTACGGAGATACATAATCTATGTTTTAAAAAAACAGCTAAGTTGCTGATAGATTTTTTATACAGTTAGCCGGACAATCCTTTAATCACAGTTTTTGACCAGGTTAATGTCTCTGTTACTAGAGAAGTACCCAGGATCTCCACCCTTTCGCGTTGCGAGGCAGCTGTGGTCCAAGTTAGGGAAGTTGCAGGACTCAGTTATACAGACAGAATTTCCCTTCGCTCACCACATATTCGCTTTGACTGTTATCTTGCTAGAGGGAAGATGTGTACATATTGTTAACTACTGTCTGGGGAGAAAAATGCACACTATCTTCAGCCTTTCCCCCGGATTATTCCAATCAAAGCGTGCTCTATCCCCTCGAGACTGCCCAGTTCAGTCTTTAACAAGGTCAACTCTCTACCACCTACCGGAATATCACGGATTTGCACGGAATATTTCTTATTCCTATAGAATGTTTTCATAGCGCCCCCCTTTGGCTTTTTATCCAAACAAATCAATATACAATATTTTAGGTTTGCTATTTCTTTGCAGGTTATTCTCGTTTGGTGAGCAAGTAACCGCCGAATCACTCGACTACACCTTACCCTGCACAACTCGTAGCGTGCATTTTCCGGACTGTGCAGCGATTGGCGACTTTAAAACGATCTTACTGTGTGTAGCAGAGGTGCAGGGGTCCGGCCAGCTCGCCCCATCATTCAATACGATCACGGCTGATCTAATACTGAAATGACTTTTACCCACCCCATCCCCATTACCCTGTAAGCCCCCATTACTCAGAAGTCTAACAAGCTCCACATGCTAAAAGACTGAGTTTCCATAGGCCACTGTGATAGAGTCCTAAAGATTCACAACCCTGAGTAAAGGCAAAATCCTCCTAACTTCAGACCTGAGTAGCATCGCCCTTCTGTTGAACTTTGCCTCTGGTTCTAGGTTCCCCAGCCAGGGAAACATCTTACCTGCATCTACCCTGTCTCTCCCTTTATGTATGTTGCAAATTTCAATGAGATCACTTTTCGTTTTTCTGAAACTGTAAAGAATGCAGACCCAATTTGCCCGATCTCTCTGCCACCCCAGGGAATAATTCCTTGAACCTTGCATTCCAATATGGCAGTAACCTTTCCTGAGATAAGGAGACCAAGACTGCACACAGTCTAACCAAGCTGCTATACAATAGAAGCAAGACTTCACTAGACCTGTACTCAATCCTCTTATGATAAAAGTAAACATTCCTAATAGCCTATCTACTAGCTTACTGCACCTGCATGTAAGCCTTCATCATTGACTTATTGACAAGGGCACTCTTTACCATTTAAATACTCTGCACATCTGATCCTCCTACCAAAGTGGATAACCTTTCATTTTTCCACATTATATTCCATCTACCACGTTCTTCCCCATTCAATAATGCTGTCCAAATCCTCTTGAAACAAAACTACTTTTACATTCTCCTCAACACACATTCCCACTTAGTTTTCTTTCATCTGCAAATTTGGAAATATTATATTTGGTCCCCAACTCCAAATCATTAATACATATTGTGTTTAGCTGGGACCCAAGCTCTGATCTTAGCAGTACCCTACTAGTCATAGTTTCCCAATCTGAGAGTAACCCTTTTATTCCTACTCTCTGGTGAACATTCAGAAAACAATCACTAATCACTAATCCACACCAGTACATTACCTCCTATCTCATGTGCTTTATTTTTTCTAACCAGCCTCCTGTGGGGGAGGCTTCTGAAAATCCACAAATACCATACTCATCAGCTCTCTTCTTTCATTTTGTTAGGAACAAAGAACATAATACAGCTTGCAATTACGCACTGTTCTATAATCTTCAAGCCCAAAGGGATTGATTTCCATCAGCAAATCTTCAACTTAACCACCAAAAGGCTAGATTCAGACTTCAAAATAATTCCAGAAAAAGATCCAAGTCCTCGTCTATGTATACGTTAACAGGAACAAGGAGTTCTCCCTGAACCACAATCTGCCTCAGCCAACTGCCTTATCCGAGTGAGAGTATGGGTGTGATCACCAACCTTAGCAGGTGTGGGATGCAATGCCCAATGAATCCTATTCCTGACCCAAGGTGGAGATAGAAAGAATTGCCAATGCTGGAGTCAGAGATAACACAGTGTGGAGCTGGAGGACACAGCAGGCCAGGCAGCATCAGAAGGGCTTCGCAGTGGGGTTATAACTCACTTTTCTGAAGGGTCCTGACCCGAAACATCAACTTTCCTGCCCCTCTGATGCTGCCTGGCCTGCTGTGATCCTCCAGCTCCACATTGTGTTATCCCTGACCCAGGGTGGGGTGCATTCTGGTGTGGGAGGAGTTCAGGGGAAGTGCATGGCAAGCCCCTCTCTAAAACTATGCTTGTCTCCTTTCAGCTACCAGGTTTCAGGTGTCAATTAAGCAGTTTTATGCTGGGGATTTCTGTTCACAAGGAATTGAATTGCAAATTTCCAAATTCATTCCACTGAAGCAACTGAAGCCAGCAGATGAAGGGAAGATTCTCATTCTACCTGCATAGATTCAGTTCAGTTTCCATATATGAAAGGTTAATGTTCAAACCCATAAATCTCAGGAAGTAGCAAAGATTGAAAGTATGACTGTGGTCCATTGACTGACATATATAGATTAGGCAGATCATTTTCTCCACTGTGTAAACTGTCAGGATTGTTCTTATATTAACAAAGAAATATGTTTCTTTTACACCAAAGCATTGGAAAGAAAGTAAAAGATTTGCAAGTGATGTGTGTAGGAAGTGTTATTGAACAATACTGTGCTTTCTGACTCAGAGATTACTGTCATCAACTTCAAAATGTGAATACGAGCTTTATTATAAATATTTTTAAAAAGCTCACAGCCACAAGTGAACAGCCAGGTTTCAGTTTTTCTAACCATAGTTACAGGCTTGACTAACAGCATGGAAGCACAGCAAGCAGTTACCACACACAATAAAGCACTGAACAAGTGAGCAAACAAACAAGTAATTTTATTTTACTTTACATGGAAAAGGTATATAATTACAGGATGATTACAGCCGTGAGTCCACTGAGAAGGTAAACTACATTGTGATGGAATTTTGTACCCCAAGTGAGAGTTAACAAAAATCCATAATTTGGTTACATGTTTCAAAGATAGATTCAAATAACAGCTTAAACTAACTGTGTATTTCAGCCTCTCACTCATGGTGCAGCTAGGAATCTTCAAGAAATGAATGGGCAAACTAATTTTTAAAAATATCTTCAAAGTAGTACTCTTTTAATTTACTACTGCTCCTAAAAATATCAAGTGTCAGTTTCTTAAAAATAAACTGTTGCTTATTTAAAAGGAGAGGGGAAAAGAAAGAATGGCTCTGGGGCACAATTAATGTCACTGTTTTAAACAATACGTTTATATGTATTGGGCAAAATTATAATGATTGATTCTTTCAAGTCATCTCCTTTGAACTGCTTTTTTGGCATAATAAGAAGAGAAATTGCTGCAGAAACTCAGCAAGTCGGGCAGCATCTGTGGAAAGAGAAACAGAGTCAACGTTTTGAGTCTGATGAGAGTCTTCTTCAGGGAGGAAACTTTTTCCTCAGTCCACAGATGCTGCAGACCTGCTGAGTTTCTCCAGCACTTTCTCTTTTTCCCAGCATCTGCAACATTTTATTTTTATTTTTAATTTATTATGCATGCCCTTGTGTTGTAAGTGTCCAATCATAGGGTTCTATCAGACAACTGATAATCTGCTGCCCTCTTAGGCTACATCTGTTACTAAGCCCAGAAGTCAGTTACAATTTGTAAGTGGATCAGAAGTTATGGAAAACACATCTATTTTCTACTGTCAATAAGCTGTAAGCAACATCAATTTTCATGAAGTTAGAAATTTTATAAAACCAAAGAAGTTAAAACTACATTTACAAGAGGTTGATCAATTTTTATTATGCAGTAATTTGGCCGTATTTTTTAGGTCAGCTTTTGTTCAGGGCAAGATTTGGTTGTGATCAAGTCCTGGTGAAATCATTTGTTTTCGGTGTCCTTTTGGTCGTTTACTACACTTACTTTAAGCGAGTTTCCAAAGTCCTCAAAATGCTGGTAATCATAAGATGAAATAAATTTCACCTGTAACATGAGTGGAAATCATTTCAATCAAAAAAGATTTTTGTATCAGCAGCAGATTGGGATACATTACAATTTGTCCTCCACCAAGTTATTAATACAATAATAAATAATTGAGGCTCTAGTACTGATGCTTGTGACACTCCTCTAGTTACGTCTTTCCAACCTGAAACAGACCTATTAATCCTGAATCTCTGTCTTTGTGTCAACCAATCCTTAATCCATACTATTACCCCATTATCATGAGCTCATTTCTTGTGCAATAACCTTCTATGTGGCATTTTAGCAAATGCCTTCTGGAAATTCAAA